TCCAGGTGGACACCTTCAGCAATCAGGAGCTCCTCAGTTGCTCATAGCAAATCCCACCTTGGAGTTTACAAAGACTTATGGATAGAAAAGCCACACAAAGTAATTTACTATACCACACCATGCTTGCCTTACACTTCTCTCTCCCACTCCTTGCATGCATATACATATTATTTTTTGAACCACTTGAGAGATTGCGTACATTGTACTCATTTGCCCCTTAATACTTCAGTGTGTCTTTTCCTAAGAAAAATGGTATTCTCTTATTTAAGCACAGTTCAGTTTCGGTTTAAGAAATTTAACATCAAAACAATACTTTCATCTTATCTATAATTCATATTCCAATTTCCAAATAGTGTCCTTTATTGCAGCTGTGGTTTTTCTGGCACAGAATTCAATCAAGGATCATGTTTTACATTTGATTGTCAGTCTCTTCGATCACTTTTAACTTAGTTTTTCAGTCTTTGTCTTGCATGAAATTGACGTTGTTAAAGAATCTGGGCTACTAATTTTAGTAAATATGGACAAGGCCACTACTTGCCTTTCATTTTGTTTTATGGTGGTGGCTTTCATGTTGCTGTGATGCTGGGAATTGTGCCACGAGTATTTCAAGTACTAGCAGTGCCACCCATGGGGGATAGGTTTCAATGGAGCTTCCAGGCTAAGATAGTCCAGGAACTAGGACCGGGTGATCTGCTTCTAAAGAAAAATAATTAGCCAGTGAGAGTATTATGAATAACAGTGGAGCACCATCCGATGCGGTGCTGGGAGACAAGGCCCTCAGGTCGGAAGGCACTGAAAATACACCTGGAGAAGAGCTGCCTCCCAGGAGTCAAGTCATCCTTAGTGATGTGGACAGAGTGAAGCATTCGGAACCTTCTTTTGTTGATGTGGCATGACTTAAAATGAGAAACAGCTGCAAACATCCATTAGTAAATGGAACTTGGAATGTGTGAAATATGAGTCAATGGAAATTGGAAGTTGTCAAAAATGAAATGGAATGCTCAAAGAACATCAGTATCCTTGGCATTAGTGAGCTGAAATGAACTGGTATTGGCCATTTTGAATCAGACAATCATGTGGTCTACTGTGCCTGGAATGAAAAATTGAAGAGGAACAGTGTTGCATATCAAGAACTATCTGGAACTACAATGCTGTCAATAATATAGTATGCATACACCTACTAGGAAGACCAATAAATGCAACTATTACTCAAATTTACAAAACAATCTCTAATGCCAAAGACGAAGAAATTTAAGATTTTTACCAATTTCTGCAGTCTGAAATTGATCAAACATGCAATTAAAATGCATTGAAAATCACAGTGACTGCAATTTGCAAGTGGGAGACAAAAGAATTAGTATAGGCATACCCCAGAGATATTATGGGTTCACTTCCAGACTACCACAGTAATGCAAATATCGCAGTAAAGTGTGTCACACAAATTTTTTGGTTTCTTAAAGCACATAAAAGTTATGTTTACACTACGCATTAGTCTATTAAATATGCAGTAATGTTATGAAAATATTTAAAATATTGTGAGAATTACAAAATGTGACAGAGTCATGTAGTGAGCACACAGTAGTGAAAATGATGCCAATCCACTTGCACATTGTAAGGTTGCCACAAACCTTCAATTTTAAAAAAAAACAATGCAGTGCCAACTATAATAAAATGAGATAAGCTTGCAGTTAGATAATAGAGCCTTGGTGGTAGAAATGACAGCAGAGATCACATGATAGAATTTTGCAAGACTGACAACTTACTCATCAGAAATACCTTTTTGCAATACCATAAATGATGGCTATATATGTGGACTTCACAGGATAGGATACACAGGAATTGAGTCGACTGTATCTGTGGAAAGAGGCAATGGAGAAACTCATCATCATCAGTCAGAACAAGGTCAGGGGCTGGCTGTGGAACAGACCATCAGTTGCTCATATACAAGTTCAAGTTGAAGTTGAAGAAAATTAAAACAAGTTCATGACAGCCAAAGTACAAACTTGAGTATATGCCCCCTGAATTTAGAGAAAAACTCAAGAATAGATTAAACGCATCAAAGACCAAATGAGTTACAGGATGATACAGTGACATTTTACATGAAAATAGCAAAAGATCATTAAAAAGACAGGAAAGAAAGGAAAAACCAAATGTCAGGACAGACTCTGAAACTTGCTCTTGAACCAAGAGTAGCTAAACCAAGTGGAAGAAATGATGAAGTAAAAGAGCTGAACAGAAAGTTTCAAAGGGGAGCTCAAGAAGACAAAATAAAGTATTATAATGAAATGTGCAAAGACCTGGAGTTAGAAAATCAACAGAGAAGAACATGCTCAGCATTTCTCAAGATGAAAGAACTGAAGGAAAAATTCACGCCTCAAGTTGCAGTATTAAAGGATTCTATGGGCAAAATATTGAATGATGCAGGAAACATCACAAGATGGAAAGAATACATAGTCACTGTACAAAAAGAATTGGTTGACGTTCAGCCATTTCAGGAGGTAGCACATGATCAAGAACTGGTGGCACTGAAAGAAGTCCAAGCTGCACTGGATGCATTGGTGAGAAATGAGGCTCCAGGAATTGATAGAATACCAATTGAATGCTTCAACAAATGCAACACTAGACGTGCTTAGAAGGAAACACTGCCTGATCCTGCACCATCCTCATAATCGTTTCTGTGTTTGAGCCAATCGTTGCAGCCACGGTTCAGTCCATCTCGTTGAGGGTCTTCCCCACTTTCCCTGACTCTGTACTTTGCCCAGCATGATATCCTTGCCTAGGGACTGGTCTCCTCTGATAACATGACTAAGGTATGAGATATAAGGCCTAACCCTTCTCACTTCTCAGGAACGTTCTGGCTGTACTTCCTTCAAGAAAGATTTGTTCATTCTTCTAGCAGCTCATGGCACATTCATTATTCTTTGCCAACACCACACTTAAATTCATCATTTCTTCTTCGATCTTCCTTATCATTGATTGTCTAGCTCTCACATGCATATGAGGCTATTGAATATGGCTTGAGTAAGGCTCATCTTAGTCTTCAAAGTGGCATCTTTGCTCTTTACAACTTTAAAGAGGTCTTCAGGTTTACTGGTCTCATAGAGCCTGGTGAGACCCCCAAGACTATGGCCCCTAGCTACCATTCAGGTCTGGAATTGAACTCACTCCTGTGGCTTCCAGCCAAACAATATACAGGCATATAGGGTGAACATTTACATCAGGTAGATACACTCCTTAGAACAATCAAGCAGGGAGAACAGAAGGGCAGTATTTGGACAGGGAGATACCTCAGGGGGCAGGAATGTATAGGAAAGAAGAACACAAGGAAGAGGTAACTACAGGGAAGAGGTAGGAAGAGAGCTGTTACACTGTAGGGAAGGGCAGTCAATGTCATGAAACAAAATGTGTATGAACTGCTGTTCATGGAAAATGAATTTTCTCTGTAAACTTTCACTGAAATCACAATAAAAAATAATAATAAAACTTTAAAGAGGTCTTTTGTAGCAGATTTGCCTGATGCAATACATCATTTGATTTCTTGACTGCTGTTTCCATGAATGTTGATTGTGGATCTAAGTGAAATAAAATTCTTGAAAACTTCATTCATTTCTCCATTTATCATGATGTTGGTTATCAGTCCAGTTATGAGAATTTATGTTACATACCATATATTACATACTCCATTATTCATATAAGGTCAGAAAAAATAAAGAAAATGGCCAGGTAGCGGATAGGGTAAA